TGCGGGTGCTATTAATTTTATTCGGTTCATTGCTTTTTTATATAGCATGAAATGTGAAATAATCCTTATGTACTCTGCAGATAGGATAAGATGTACTATATTTATTGCAAAAGTTGGGAATTTCCTGTGTTGTAACAACCAAAATATTAAACATAAACTAAATAAATGGTTTATTAGAATAAAGTGGAACAGTTAAAACACAAATGATACTAAAATGAGTTAATTCAATAGGAAAAATACATTAAAGGAGCTCAATAAGTCAAGAAATAGATTTAATTCAATAGAACTGTATGTAGAATGCTGAATATAATACACAAATACAAGTGAAAACAACAAAACTAGTAAAGCAAAAACTGGCAAATGGCATTAGAGATATTGTTACATATTACACCACAAGATTGCTAATAAAGATGCACTATTGCTTCCCCATATTTAACCAACTGCTACTCTAATTACTCCAGTAAGAGAAACGTTTTTGCACGTTGGGAAACTGTACAAACCAAAACCAATGCAATAAGTTAATTTATTAACAGTAAGAACCTGCAGAAAATGTCTTAGAACAGGTAAAAACCTGCTCCTTATAATGCTGCCTGTCCTGCATGAGCTACTCATTAAAAAGTAAACTGGAGCTAGTTTTACAAACAGGTACAGTTATTACTTAACATAAACTGAGCCAAAATGCAGAAGCAGTGTGTGAAACTCAAAGTACATGCTTACATCTTCCACTGGAATTAAGGGGTAGTTAGCAGGCAGGTGCTGCTAATTAAATGCTCTTGATTAACTGATCATCAGCAAGTGTGAGCACCTCTATAAAACAGACACACAACAGGACTCAGTTAGGATGTGAAATATTTAAATGAATGACAGTACAACTAGAAAAAGGCTGAACACATATGGCTTATTTGGAGTCTCTTTGGACATCTGGACAATCCAAAAGACGTCTGTAACAATGTTCATGGACAGACGAGAACAAAATGGAGATGTTCGGTGAAAAACACACACCTCATCCCGACTGTGAAGCACGGCGATGGAGGGATGTTGATTTGAGCTCCTTTTGCATCCACAGGACCGGAGCAAGTCAAAGTCCAGAACTCAACCGAACTAAAATACTGCAGCGAGATTGAAGAAGACTGGACCGAAATTCCTCCACAATGATGTGAGACACTGATAAAGTCATACAGGAAATGATGACTTCAAGTTATTACTGGGCGTATTTCGTTTGTCAGAGAACTGCAGAGAGCCATGTGAAAATGTTCTTTCTCACGCAGCAGCAAGTGCTTTGATCTGCGCCCCCCTCCTACAAGATAAAGATGAGAAGTTGTGTGCTGATTAATGTCAAACAAAATACATTTGGATACATTTGTTTCTTAGATAACCTTTTATTTAGTCAGAGCTTAACTGCTGTGAAGATAAAGCATTCAAGAGCTAAATTAACCTGCAAACATAGCTGCTCATTAAGTGAAGCAAAAAAAAAAAAGGTGCTATAATATTTAGTCGCATAAAATAAAATGAGATACTTGCCTTTTCCATCTTCTTCAAAGGTGTTTTTGGATAGTTTCTCATAGTTTTTTTTCCACAATACAAATACATCTAAACTTTATTATCCTGTCATAAACCATTAAATTAGAGTGTTACGTAATGCCAGATAAACTCGTGCGAGCGTTTCAGAGGAGCTAATGTGTAAGAGCGTGCACGCACACCCTGCTGTTAGCTGATTGGCTGCGTCACGGTTCATTTCAGGTTACGTCCCAGAGGGATTTTCCCAACCACAATACTTTGTTTTCAACAAGCTATAACTGATGCCAACCTTCAATTTGGAACCGCTTTTTAAGCATCGTTTTGAGACACACAGTATAGTGTAAATCACTCGTTTATTATTATAACACATGCATGCAATTTCAAAATTTCAATGCAAAATAACACAAGGAAACAACCGATGGCGCTAAATACATTTTCACCCATGCACAGAGTCAACCGACTATGAAACTATGAAACTGGAATCAGCTCGGTGCTCTCGTGGCTAAAACTGCAATTTTTTTTTCAACCACACAAAGATTTATTTGTGATCAGAGTTTTGGACTTGAGTGCAGAGACTGAGTTAAAGAGAACACATGATGATGAAAGTACAAAAGAGAACTTGTATAAGGCAGAGAGGGCAGTTTGTGGAAAATGGCACATCAGATGCTTCTTAAATCCCCCACTTCTGTGTTTGCAGCTAAGCTCGCTGCTGTCTTTTAAAGGTTTTAAAAAATAAACCTGGAAAACAAGTCAAAAATTTACACCGTAGTTTGTAGCGAGCGTGATAGTTACACAGGAAGTAGATTCAGTTCCTGCCTGTGCAGCTGCCGTCATTTACATTCAGCAAAAAGAAACTTTAGAAAAACAATACTGGACATTTTCAATCCATAAAAACACAAAGCATCAGAGGATGTTTTGGGTTTTTTGCTTCCAGTGTTGGCTTCACAGTAGTTTTACAGATACAGCTGTTCCCATATGGCCCTCTTTCAGCTATTTTTGCCATGTTTACATGACTTAGTAGCAGCTCAGTAGAGTCCCAGCTCTACTGATGAACACTGATGAGGCCTGAACACCCACAGCTGCAAGAAAGGTTTAAGATTATAATATGACTAAACTAGCATGTATATATTTGTATAAAAAACACAGCGTGATCGCTCACAGTCCAGACCCATTGCACTTCCTTTAGCACCAACAATGTCCACTCGGGTTAAGGTGATAAATTCTGACAGGTGTCCAGGCTGTGAGGTAGCAAAGCAGCTCCAAACCATGATGGTACCTCCACCGTGCTTCGCTGTTGGGGTGAGCTTTTATTTACCGTTGTCCAAAAGACTGAGTGCTCAGATATAGTCTTTTCCAAATATGGCATGTATTGTAGTGTGCTTTTCTTCCTCAAGTTCTTCCAATAACATCATTCTTAAGTGTTTTTCTTATGGTAAACTTTATTCAGCTGTTTGGAGGTGTTTTTGTCATTACCCTTGGTTTCTTTTTCACCTCCCTGGCAAGGTGGCAGCTTTCCTGAATATCCTCTGAGAGTTCTTCTTAGTGTGACTCGAAAAACATTTTTCCAGTTTTGTGAACCTGCAAATGCTTCTTCTAAGTTCCTGGGAAAGTCACCGAAACGAAAGCGTGGTTCACCCCTTCCAGGTTTTCTTTAAAAAGGCAGATTTTTATCAAGAACCAGGCTTTGTTTGCTCTCTGATCTCATTGAGGTGCTTTTTCAGATTCACGTCCATTCTCCAGCCTGGGCATGGGAGTTATTTCATCTTTTATAACATCATGCAAAATCCAGTTTGTGCTTCATTAGTTTAGCCAGATTGTGTTTCTCTGCAGTTGTGAGTGTGATGAAGGTCAGGCCACATTTTTCGAGTAAGTTATGACGAAATCTGTGCACTTCCAACTGTGTGATCTGCCTACACAAAGTCTCTTGTTCTTAACAGTAATACTGATAGCTGATGTGGAGATTTGATTCTTCTCTGGAAACATAATCAGGCTAAGCTCCTATTTCACAAAGCCGAGACCAGATAAACACAAATCTCCTCTCAATGTCTGCCTTCGTGTTTTTACACAGGTTTGTCGAGGGTGATGCAAATCACGCTGAGATCTTAGGCGGCTACTAAGCCTCTCTCCTTTCAGGAAAGATATTCAACCCCAGTTCCACCAGCGCCCCCATTAACATGGTCCACAGTGGTATGCACACAAACGTCAGCTTCACGTCGGCCAGCCTTTCCAGCTTGGCGCACAGCGTCAGGCAGAAGCCGAGCTTCAGCAGCATGGCTGTCAGGTACCAGCTACGCAGGCGCAGGTCTGGAGAGCCGTTGCGCGGGTCGTATCCCGGCTTGCAGCGGCCTGCCATCTTGATGGCGAGCATGAGGATGAGGATGCCATCAAAAACCCAGACAGGGAGAAAGATGAGGAACCAGTTCCACTGCACCTGTAGGGAGGAAAGGGAGAAGATGCTGATAGTTGAGGTTGTTGGGAGGAATGTGTCACTGGATGGAGACTGGGTGGAGATTGCTGATGAAGCTATGAAAACTGTTACCTTTCCATCCAATTTGAGCACCAGCATAATGAGGAAAACCAGGGTGAAGACCCAGGTCAACAAAACCCTCTGAGCCAGAGACATCTCACTCAGTGGAGACCAGAGGAGACAGACAGAAGCTGCACACAGACAGACCACATGTGCACGTGTTATAATCAGAAAATATGTTAAGAAATGATAAATGCATGCTTTTGTAGCATAAAACGTGCATTTAAAAACTGACAGCAAGGCAGGAATCAGAACTAACTGGATTATTTGGTGTCAGCTATGCTCTCCGTTGCAGCATCAAACAACATTTCGCTGATGGCCGCTTTGAAATAATAATTTAATGCCATAATTGTATTCATTGTCAGATTAAAAACACTGCAATTAGAGCTAGCTGTTACAGCCTAATAGCATTGTGCTAATCGCTGGCTGTGACTTACTTTAGTGTGTTTCCAGCTCGGCAGACAGCATCTTCCTTCCACTGTGTCCTACGCATTCACATTCTCATATCGTTTCTTATAGCCAGTCATGTAATTATCAGCAAACGTGTCCGTTAATAAAAATAGACTGGGAGATTTTTTTTAGGTCCGTTATCCATACGGGTCCCGCCTCTCCTGGGAGCCGATTGGTGCTCCTCACGTTTGTTTTAATGTCCGTCACGCTGCGTTGTAACCGTAAAGTGTTCACGAATGCGCAAAGTAGTTGTTGGGTTTTCCTGTAGTGAGTTTTCACGTCCACTAGAGGTAAGTAAAGTTCTTTTTATTTCCCCCCCGGCGTTTCTGATTATATCCTATTCGTCGTGATGGTATTTAACATTTTAACCCTGTATTTTCTCGTTTTTTGACTTTCGAAATACTTATTGTATTCATGTGTGACCCTAGTCTTCTTTCCTATTTGCCAACCATCGATGGCGATTATTTGCTGAAAATATAACTCCGCCTTTATGCGGCGGTTTACGGTAAGGGGGCCGAAGTAGTATTTTTACAGTGAGAGACAGAAAGGGAAAGGCTAATGCTTGAAACACTGGCGAGCAGATACTCAGCATCTCCTCCAGACAATGGACAAGGCTGGCTAGCTCAAGTTCATTATAAACTACACTTAGAAAGCGCGCCTGAGCTCTGTGTGTGGACTCGGAGCCGCCTTCGCAGTCAAAGAGGTAAGACTGAGCGGCTGCACGGCGCGTTTAGACGGCAGTAATCAGGGTTTCGGGGTTAAAGACAGCTGTGTGGGCTGTTATGCCTGCCGGTGGCTCAGCTAACATATAGCCTGGCAGAAGGGAGGAGGACTGTCTGTATATGAACCAAGATAACCACGAAGACTGCCCGAAAGCACAGTGGCTGCTTCCAGCTACATGCCAGCTAGCATCAAAATTAGCTGCATGTGTTTCCCCACTCATAGTGGACCGAGCTTTACTTCACAGTAATGCAAACGTTGACATTTTTAGCCTGTGTTTTACTTCCTCTACCTCTTTGCTATTTTTAAATCTTCCACATCAATGTTATTAAGAATAAGATTTTTAGTACAATCTTTTCTAACAGTATTTCTATAGCAAGTAAAAAGATAAAAAAAATCAACTGAGAAAGCAATCAAACTTGTATAAAAAATAAAATAGGCAAGTAGGGTTGCTCTTAACTATCACCTTTATAGTAATACCGTTTATTGCATGGCATTTTGTTAGGCTCTGACTGATTTACTATTCAAGCTAAACTGCTGTGTGAAAGTATTTGCCTGCTTTTTTTTTCTTCTTTTTTTTTAATTTATTTGCACATTTGTCACACTTGCATGTTTCAGGTCAACAAATTTTTATATTAGACAGTGATAAGCTGAGTGAAAACAAAATACAGTTTTTAAGTTATGGTATCATTTATTAAGAGAAAAAGCTATCCAAATCTACCTGAAGTTACGTAAAAAAAATAATTGCCCCCATGTGATTAACCACTTTTTTTTGGCCAGCTGAGTTCAATTTAACTAGCCACACCCAGGCCTAATTACTGCCAGGTCTGTTGACTCGTGAAATCGCTTCTCTAGAACCTGTCTGACAACATGAAGGCTAAAAGATCTCAAAAAGAAACTCTTCGTCTCACAATCTAAAGTGAAACTGAAGAACTGATGCGAAGCAAAGTTGTTGACATCTATCAGTCTGGAAAAGGTTATTTCTAAGGATTTGAGACTTCAGTGAAGGACAGTGAGAACCATTATCCAAAAATGGAGAGAACTTGAAATGGTGTTGACCCTTCCCAGGAGTGGCCAGCCTATTTTAAAAAAAATACTCAAAGAGTGCACCAGTTGAACACCAGCTGAATGCTTTGAAATGTCTGAGTCCTGTTACATCCAGCATAAAACTAACACAGCATTTCACAAAATGAACGTCATGATGTGTGTTTCTGTGACTTCCTGTGTAAACATGATCAACATTCAAACATGGTACTGTGATGGTCTGGGGCCGCTTTGCTTCTTCAGGACCTGGACAGCGTCCCGTGATTGATGTAATTATGGATTCTCCTCTATACTGGAAAATCCTGAAGGAGAATGTCCGGCCATCAGTTTGTCCTGAAACTCAAGCTCGCTTTGGTTATGCAAATTTTCCAAAACACACCAAGTCCACCTCCAAATAGACTTGAATCTGATTGAGATGCTTTGACCTTAAACAGGCTGTTCATACTTGGGAAAACTCTCCAGTGTGGTTGATTTAAAACAACTCTGCAAAGAAGAATGAGCCAAAATTCCTCCACAGTAACGTGAAACGCATAACAAATGATTTAAAATCAGATTTTTCTTTACTAGGTTTATCTTTGCCTGATATGTAAAATGTATTTGAGCTGAAACATGCACACGTATCAAGCAAAAACAGGAAGAAGTCTAGAAGGAGGCAAATGCTTTTTCACTTCATTTAACTACGAAGACCCATTTATATCAAATCTGGTTCAAGCTATACAAACGCAATATTTAAAAAGGCAGAAAATACAGTGAAAGGTATCTTATAGGACATAAAATGGCACAAAAATTACTAGTGCCCTTCTGCACAGTCTTTTAAATCAATTAAAACATGCATCTGAGCAGCTATAATTTTATGTCTGTTTTTTGTGGCTGTCCATGTCATTGCATTTCTTTTAACCAGCCAACTGCTTGCAGGCATACAAGTAATCGGAAGCCATCAGGGTGCCCGTAGTCTGCTAAGCTGTGATGTACTCTGCTGCATGTGCTGCAGATATTGCTGAGGGCTACAGCTGCTCTTTTAAAAAAAAAAATAATTAAAAAATACAAATGTCCGTGCATGTCCTTCATATCTGTGTATCTCAACTAACAGATGTGCTAATATATGTGATAGGCCAGTAACAGCAGTTCGCCTTGTGCTCATCTACATTATTCAAATCTTTATCTGTCTCTTCTACTCTATTTTACTCTGCTTTAAAACCTGTTAGTGACTGTGTCAGAGAAGTGAAACTGCTGCAGGCTTCTGCAGGGGGTCAGGCTCTCAGTTTGGCAGGCCTACTGATTATCCAAACAAGTTTATCGTTGAGCCTGTCTGTCTGCTCCAATGTCTGACCAACAAAGTCATCGCTCACCCAGATTTCTATCTGCAGTCATAATTCGACCTCTAAATTAGTCGGCTGTGTCGCACCGGTTGAGTTGCTTTTAAGCCTAAAAATCACTTATTCCTATTAAGCCGTACACGCTGAAGAAGCAGATCAGATTATCCTGATTATCCTTACAAACACGGTGACAACAGCAGTAAAAATGATCAGCTGCTGAGTTTTTTCCGCTGTTGGAGCAGTTATACCTGACTGTGTTTGCAATTCAGCCAGGAGTGGAACATTTTTTTTAATTTTATTTTTTTAAATCAAACAGCAAGTATGTGACTTGTGCAACAGCTAAGCAAACCTTTAATCTCGCTTGCTGTGAACCCCATGTACAGCTTATACTGTAGGGCCTCGTATTCGGGGTAGAGAAATATAGTTTTCTTAGACTCAGTAGGGTTGTGTTAGTCATATGATCATCAATAGGAAGGGGTTTTCCCCAAAAGGAGCTACTAGGAACTACCTGTTTAACAAGAAAAAACTGGGAATGACATCCGAGATCTCACTTAAATCCATTATGAAGTGCCTTTGAGCAAGGCAGTTCAGTGCTCGTTTTCCTGCCTCGCTGCAGGAAGCTGTGGTACAAAAGTGCAGTTTGTTTGTTTTCTTCCTGACAGAAAATAGCTCACTTTTGTGTTATGTTGCATATTCACTGTGGTGTTGCACACACATGGGATTCCTGTTAATGCCCAGACACACAAACAGGGTAGGACTCGGCAGCTCGTGTGCCTTTAAAACACTGATTAATCATCTGCAGGTCCACTACTACAAGTCAGACCATGTATCTGCGCCGCATCGTGGTGTGCACACACAAATGTGACTTGTAGAGAGTAACTCCCTCGTTGAGTGGCCTTCTGTATATTTTTACACCCTTTGGACATTGCAAGAGTCTCTTGGTCCTGCAAGGCCTTAATTGTCATTTGTCTTCACCTGACAAAGTGTGGATGAAGGCATGCCCAAGGCTGGCTAGAGAGAGATCCCACTTCTTGCATATGTTCTCTGGGCTGTTATTTCTAGCTTTAGTAATTAAAGTAATTTAAAATAAAAGTACAGTGTTTCTGTAAATAGTTTCTACTTTTGCACACGTGAGAGTGCATTCTCTGCATCTCAATCTCATCCTCACCTAGTTGCCTTAGTTGTCTCCTTGTTGCATTCCCCCTTCATTTATTTGTCTCTTTGAGGAGCTCTGAGACGATGGATTGCATTTTGTTTTGTGGAGCGTGAATCTGCCTGCAGAGCTTGTTATATCATCAGCTGCAACATGGTTATATCACACACTCATCTGCTATATTATTTTATGCTACGGCTGCAGCTTGGCCTGCATGGAAGTGATATCATGCGTAGAAATAAAGTCACTGCAGTGGTGATTGTGAGCAGAAAGGTCAGTTGACCTCATAATCACTTAACCATTTCTTTGTTATCACCTTAGCTGTACTGCAGCTAAAAGAGCAGTCAGTAACAAGGTGGCAGTGACCAGAAGCTGCAGTTGGGACTCCAACAGTTTACACAGGAAGTCACAGAAATGCACGCATCCTGTTAAGTCTGAATGCTGCTTTAATACAAAATAAGAACAAGGAAACATTTAGTAATGCCTCTGGAAATTCTTGTTCTATAAACGTCCCGAATCCACTAGGACTGGGCTATTTATTCTGAGCTTGATCTCAGTGGCGATTATAGCTTCCAGTGATTATGAGGACAAAATAGTCTGGGTAAAAAGATAACTTTTTTTTTTGTGATATACTAAATCAGCAGTCAAAATGCACAGCAACATTAAAGAAGAAAAATGGGCAGTTTTAGATATAGGGTGAAAGGTGGGTTACATCATGGACAGGTCAACAGTCCATCAGACTGCTAATAGACCGTCAGCCAGTTTAGACTCACCTGTTTAAGCAGTGGTTGGACAGGAAAGCCAAACAGAGCAGCCAGACTCCTCAGAAAAGGTGTTTGAGCCCAGCAGCTCCTTGTTGTGTGGCACAAACTCAAATCACTGCAAAACCATCTCCCCTAAGACTTAATGGGGTCTGAGGACTTGTCCTCAATTGGGTGAAGGACCAGTGACCTTATCAAATGGATCTTTACCCAAGTTGTGCTCAAGGTCAAGGTTACGTTTGCTGTTTTTACAGGCAGTAGCTTGTGAATTGTGAGCTAGATCTCATTAATGCTCTGGTTATAAATGCCACTTGTCAAAGACTCTATAAAGTTTATGAGAACTGTGTGTAATTAAAGCTCAATATAGTCTCCTCTTGACAGCTGGTGGTCTCTAATGAGCACACATGTTAAATGGAAGAAAATCCAGCTACATAAAAGAAATAAAATCAAATGTTTAATATTTAGTGGTGGATCAAGAGGTTATGTCCTGAGAGCTGGTAGGCATTTCAGTACATCAGGTTTTACCAGTGGGAGCATTTTGACTCTGGACCCGATGAGGATCCGTGCTAAACGCTGTAGTTCTGCTTGGATTGATACAGCTCTGTGCATTATCCTACTGGTGCCAGCTGATGTACACACACAGGTGCTTTTAATAATTTTTCTCAGAAAAGAGCTCTATCTGTATGAAAGTTCTGCAAACTGGTCACACATCACGAGCTGATAAGAATATTATTGTGAACAGGAAGTGCAGCCAAACTGACAGGAGCATCGGACGCCTCTTGCAAGGTTTTGCAATTCAAAGTGATTGAGATCTTAGATTGGCTTTTTGGCAGCAAAGGGCAGGTTCCCCTCTTTTACACATCTAAGCTACTGTAACCAACCAGCGTGATTGTTTCGTGTTTCTTCTTCCCCCATTTGGGATACATCTTCATCACTGTGAAACAAAATACTGGACTATAAGTGAAACTTACCACAAAGCCTCATATCTAAAGTCATAAGGTCTCAGCTGTGTTGCAAACTTTTTTTTTTTAATAAGCATCCTGTCTTATCTCTCTTAATGCGATAAGGAGATCATTTCATGACTCCCTGAGGTTACAAGTCATTCTTTAACTTGGGTAATTGCGAAGGGTTTTTACTGTTGTCCATCACTTCAGTATGACATTACAATAATGTAATAATGCTAATCATATCTGATCATTTACTAGCACAAATTACCTGAGTTTGTTTGTTTGTTTGTTTGTTTATTTTTATCTGAGTCTGATTGGTTTAAATGTAAATGTGATTTTCTGAGTCGTAAAACTCTGATTCTAGGGGGAAAGTGTGGCGTTTTAGGAATTACTTCAGGACATGCTGGGACTGCCTGCCCTGTTATTACCTGGAAGGTTATTGTTGAGGGAAAATTGATGGCAATAACGACAGCATGTCGATGGTGAAGGAAGAATTGTGAGGATGATTGTGATTATTCTAATCCTTCTGTTGACTTTAAACAAGAGCTGCCCTGTTAGGTTGAATATTTGGGTCCCTTGCTGCCTGTTGTTAATCATTACAGTTTCTGAGAATTCATACTGTCTGCAGGCAGACTTTCTGTGTTTGTGTTCATTTGAAGTTCAGCAAATGATACACGCTGCCTTTTAACCCCCCCTGTGGAGTCTCGTGACATGGACCCATGCCAAAGTCCAATTACACAGTGCTCAGGAGGCACTTGCACATGCATTAGAGCCCCATTTTAGTGAGTGACCAGAAAGCCAGTATAGTACGTGAGAGCCTGAGATGCACACAAACACCTGCTGCTGCTGTTGCTTTGAATCTCAAATGCGATCGTTTCATTGCAAGTAGTCTGAAACGACACTCTTTCTGTTTTGCAGTCGTCTGGTTTCAACAGTCTCCAGTCAAGCTACACGGCCCAAACAGAGGTGAGTCCTGTGTCTGAGTGCCCTCTGAATGAAATGGAGGAGATTCTTGAAACCTCACACAGACGGTTATGAGGGTGTCTTCAGTCAAGCTTACACACAGAGCTGCTCTGCTCAGACGGCAACAGCAGTTCATGAGTTCTGTTCACTGTGTCTGAAAAAGAGAGACAGATGGAAAAATGAGACTGTGAAAAAAGCAATACTTCCCTTTTGAGAAGGTCAGACAAGTAGCAAACACTTGGTGTTTGTGTGTGCGCGCAGACTAGAGTGTCAAGTGAACAAAGTCTGTGGTTGGTATTCGTGGTGTGTGTGTTTTCCAGTCCAACAAGTTGCCACTGACTAGGGGTGACACGAAATTGCCCCAAAAATACACATTTTTGGGGCAATTTCGAGTTGGCTCTGCCAATCAGTAATCTACGTGGTATGCACCCTCAAAACTGGATCGCAACAAATTGGCGCTTTTGAGAGTACGTTTGCTGATAGTAACGCCATGTTGTTCAGCTAATAACACAAGGATTTCATCATTTGTGAAGCCATGCTGAAAATAATCAGCAATTTGTGCATTCATGACTGGCTGTAATATCGGTAGCTTAGCTGTAGCATTTGTAGCTGAGGGCTTCAGTTTCCGGGTAACAAGGAAATGACGTCATTCACGTAGATTACTGATTGGCAGCGCTAACTCGAAATTTTGAGTCATTAACTAAAAATTTGGAGAAAAGTCAAAATTTCGAGCTACTTTTCTCGAAATGTGTAGTTAATAACTTGAAATTTTGAGTTATTTTCTCGAAATTTTTTTCTTTGTGTGGCGGAAACGGGCTTTCATATCCATCAGCAACTTAAAAAAAAAAATGAAATTAAAGCCATCATGGTAGTGTCAAAAATTCCAGTTCCTCTAATGGCCACAGGTTCCAAAAGTGAGTAAGACTCCAAATTAAACAAAAGTATTTTTCTCTAGAATACTACCCTGTGCAACACTCATCTGAAGGCTTAAATTTAGGGATGTGCCTGTTTTGATTGGCAGCTACCGTGACAAAGGAGCTGTAACCTTAGTTACTTGCGAGGCCTCACCTTTATTAATTCGATGCACTGAACTGGACCTGTGAGCAATGTTTGTTTGTTTCAGTGCCTTTTCAAATATTTTCTCTGTAATTATCTGACAAAGGATGTTGGTGTCTGTGACTTGCAGTCCGTCTGAGTCTTTCGGTATCAATCCGATACCAAAAGTAAATACAGGACAGTAGTGCCTAAAGACTTGTAGGTTACAGTTGAAGGTTATTATAATCAGACATTCTTCATAAAGCAGGTTTCAGGTAAAAAAAAAAAAGTGTGTGTGTGTGTGTTTAAAATCAAATAATGTACATATTGTCATACTATTATTATTTTAATGTCTGAATATAGTCTGTAGTAATCAGTCTTAACTAACATTAACTAATGCTGAAGATCTTATGTACCTGGTTACTCATTGCCTCTCTGAAAGAAGTGTAACGGTGAGCTGTGTCTGTGCTGGGGTCTGGGTCTGTGTGATTAATTTCCTTCCTCCTCGCTTCGTTTCTTTTTCTGTTTGTTCTGGGATAAAGGGTTTTTCTTTTTTGTGGTCTTTCATGTCTTTATTTAAGTTGGTGTTGTTGCCACGGTAGAGTCTCTCCTTCCAACCCGTGTCAGTGTTAGCAGTGTTTTCATTTACAGCTGTAAAGTAGCTCTACACATGGTCGTCTTTCTCACCTGCTACATGTTAGTGGGGGAGGAGGGGGCGGAGCATCGTTTGCACAGACATGTCTGCTTTCTGATGAACTTGCGCAATGTATCTGTGCTTCTCATGCTGTTTTATTTTATTTTTATTTTGTTTTTATTTCTAGTCTTTGATGTTTTTTAGCCCCTGTCACTTTTGTGGTAAACTCCCCTGCCTCTCCCTTCCTTGTTTAAGCTTACTTTACAGCTTAAATGTCGAACTACATGCTGCTGAGTTGTTGGAAGAATGCACGCTAGTACGTTTGCATTGGTTGCAAATGCACAAACACGATGCCATAAAACACACGTTAACCTGTTAGCAATAAGTACCACACATGCAGGTCTGCATTTCAGCTGTACAGTCTCCACTCACATGTACAAATATGGTCACCTCTGGGTCCAAAACATGGTGTCAGCTGACAGTGAAACATCATCTGCCTCAACAGAGAGGCATGAAATCACAGTGGCTACACTTTTCTTTTTTATGTGCAGTCTATGGTAACTATGCCAGTAGCCACCAATCATACAATCAAAACAAGATGCAGTAATAACTAATTATCTAGTGTAGCTACAACTGCTGTACAAAGTTAAGCCAACGGACATAATCTTTCTTTGAATAGTTTCTCCAGCTCTTAGCACTTGTATTTTAATGAAACTCGCTGTCCACAAAAAGACACGTAAAAGGCAAAGTGAACTAATAACATTACAATTTTTGTTTTGTTTATAGGCATTATGAATTTATTATTATTATTATTAGTAGTAGTAGTAGTAATAGTAGTAGTAGATGTATGTATGCATTGTTATATTCTGTTTTTGTTTGTTTCAGTGCAAATTTGATGAAGCATCCAAATGTTGGACATGCATATTAGATGATTCGAGTTTGCTTTCAAGTTGTGCCTAAGGCAGAAAAGCTGCTTACGTGAGGCATTTTGTATGAATATGTTTATTTATTGAAGCGTAGTAATAATAATGCTCAGTGAAAATTGTACAAGGGAAATGTGCAGATGCTTGGTCCTAAATTATGAACACACGAACGATCTACGTGCACACGTTACATTCTTCCTGTGGCTGTAGAATCAGGCCTATGAGTTGGAAGACAGGTGTGTTTTATGATTATTGCTCGCTTTGGTCTCTCATTGAGGTATTTGTAGTTTATACCTCAATACTTACTGGGATGTAGAGCAGCACTGAAGGCTTTCCACTACTGAAAATTAACCTGACTCCTGCTTATGAGTTACTCTAGATGGATGTGTCATAAACATGGAATATTTTGTGGCAATCTCAAATTTGGCAGACACAGTTTAAGCCAGATTTTAACTTCATGGCTTCTAGAATCTGAATGCATTTCTGATTGCTCTGATCAGTTTAATGGGCATCATTACACTCAATTATTTGTCCAAATAATGAGATGTGAGGCTTGGCAGATGGATGGATTTCTGAATTGACCGGCTTGCAGTTTTGAGATTTTCTCACATGAAGGGACTGAAGTTTAGCGTGTGGTTGTTTTGATAAAATTAACTTGTGTTTTGCATGTTGTTGAAGCCTAGTTGTAAAACTTAAAAACAGATGACACTGGCTGCGTCCTCCGACCACAAAGGCCCTTTTCTATGTTTAGAGCTGTAAATATAACTTCATTTAAAGCCTGTATTTAAGTGAAACTGCTACAGACAACCAAGAAGCTGTGTTTTTTTTTTTTGTTTTTTTGGAAAGTCTTGCTCATTTGATTTGTCTTGTCTAACAAACTGTTCAGCTTAAACAAACATCACAGTTAAATGTCCAATTTGCTGTCTGTTTATAAGGGTTTACGGTAGATCAACTCTAAGGTTGTTTGGTGTGACTTGAGATAGTCAGGAAATCACCCTAGATGAAAAACACCTTTGACTCTCTATTGCCGTCCGTGCAGCCTCATGTTTCCTGCAGGCATGCACACATGTGCCCTCTCACCCAGCCCAGAGAGGTAACCTACTCCCATCATGAAACATGAAGCACCCAGATAGGAGGAGAGCAGCTAGTGTTACACATCACAAGATACGAGACTTGTGAAGGAGGTCTCCTCCTGTGCTCATGTTTTCATTAGAGATCCCAAAGACACATGATCCGACTGTCAGTTTGTATTAGAAGTGAGTAGGATGGAAAAATGAAGAAGTTTTGTTTTATAATGCAGTTTTCTGTCTTGAATGAAGACCTGTCTAGTTATGATATTGTAAAACAAGCTCTGGGAACTGCTTTGCTAAAGATCGGACCATGATGAGGCACCTTCTAACCCTACCTGACCCTTTCAGTCATGTGTAGGTTTGTTTTCAAGTAGCAAAATTGGGGAAAAAGGAAGCGGAATTTCTTGTCTTTTCCATCTCTTTTTGAAGTTTGAACAGCATTGAAGGCCTCTAACCTGTTTAGTCTAACAGCCCATTGTTTTAAGCTCATCATTTTAGCTATGTAAGCTTTCCTTATATGCAGATAAAACCTGTTTCGTGAACTCTTACTGCTACAAATGTAAAACCTAAAGTGACTCATTTCAGCCAGCATCCAAAACCCCCGATGTTAATTTGGTTTGATGAGGAAGTGAAACAATGTATACACTTGTATATGACAAGGATTAGGCAAGCATACACTGCACTTACTGACCGTAGCTGTGTTTTGGTTTTTTGTTTGTTTGTTTGTTTGTTTGTTTGTTTTTGTTTGTTTGTTTGTTTGTTTTTTCTAGAGGAAATTTAGGGAACAAAACATTAAACAGCATGTCAGTTTTGCCCAATATTGGACTCTTGAATCTGGCTTCCATTGCCTGTTGGTAAAGTTTTACTTTGCTATTTTTCCCCCAGTGTTGAAAAGTGTCTTTCATTGATTTAAACATTTTCAAATACTGTGAATAAGAAAAGTGCATGTGTGCGTCATTGCTGCCAGGCACCTGCTGCACTGTTGCATCCTGTTTCAAATAAAGCTGTGAGCTCAAAGTTCAAACGAGTTAATAGTCCTCTATTTTCAGTCTTGTAGTGTCACTGCTTCTTTTGTCATAAGCTTATCGTATATGTCTTTAAAAATAAAAGGATGTGCTCTAAAATTCAGGCAAGACTGGGCCTTGTTTGTTGTTTTGTTTTTTGCCTCAGCCTAACCAGTGTTTTTAAATGTGAAAATAGTGTAGTCGGTCTAAAAATAACAGACTTAAATAGTGCTGATTTACTGTAATAGGCAGTGATAGACAGTAACAGAGTTGCTGGACCACATTTACTTACACGAGACACAAACCACACTCTTGTAGGTGAAGGTTTCGTGTTTGA